GTCCACCTGTGGCTTTATTCCTGAATCTGCCCTTGTTCCGTAGCTGTTCCCTTCTCCTGGCAGCTCTGTGCATGCACAAACTGGGAACAGGCTCCAGCTGTTCTTCTTCCTCACTGATCTCCGACTCCTAAGGTAGCTGATAACTGTCAGACGGTCCTGGCCCCATCTCTGCCTCCGACGCAGAGCCCTCGTCAGAGCCTTCCCCAGACTCCAGGACTGACCCAGGTTCCTCCCCAACCTCCTCACTGTCTGAGTCTGCTGCCAGCTCCGCTGGCTACTGGCAGGCCACAACATCTGCCTCTTTCTTTCTCTTGAATGGTGGTTTCGGGCTTTCTGGGACAAACATCCATTTCCACCATCCATTGGTGCTAAACGAATTGGGCACCGTGTGTTTGTATGTGTGTGTTAAATGGAGCACGGCCTGATCCGTTACTGTAATAATGGGACCCAAATAGCAGCGCTAAGAGATCCTTTTGTCTTGTGAATCCTTCTTGCTCCATCCTGTGGCACAGTCTGGAGAGGTCACCTCCCTCCTGGGGGACACAGCATGCTCAATCCTTTGCAAACAGCCTAAATCAGGGGTGTCCAACCTTGGCAACTTTAAGACTTGTGGACTTCAGCTCCCAGAATTCCTCAGCCAGCTTTGCTGGCTGAGGAATTCTGGGAGTTGAAGTCCACAAGTCTTGAAGTTGCCAAGGTTGGACACCCCTGGCCTAAATTCTCCTTTGGCTTGTTCAGATGCCAGATGGGCAGCTGTGCTTCACTCCCCTGCAAAGTGGAGAAGGTTTCATGTGGCAGGTCGCTGCTCTGGCCCCAAACGCCCTGTGCCACCAAGATTTTTGAAAAAGGTCCCTTTGATGGATGGAGAGGCTGCCTGCTGCAAAGCAATGCCAGCTTCTAGCAAACAAGTGTGAGTCTAGTGGTTAAGGGACGGGTTAGAAAGCAGGAGATCGTGAGTTCAAGTCCCGCTCCGGGAGATTTGGGGCTAATAAACAGGAGACGGTGAGTTCTAGTCCCGCCTTAGCCACGAAAGCCAGTTGGGTGTCTTTGGACCAATAAACAGGAGACGGTGAGTTC